GAGAGTAAGGGCTCTAGCCCACGCGGCACCATGAGCTATTTGCCAAATTCGTGGAATACGTGGGGGCATACAAGAGTCGTTGCTTGAAGAAAAGATAGTAGGTGTAATGGGAAAAACTGGGCACCGCCACAACGCGGCAGAGAAGACAATTAAAAAAAAACAGGAACAGTGCTCGGCTGGTGCGTGCAGGGGTTGTCACAATATCCAACGCTCTTCCGCGTGCCGCTCCGCCCCAAGGACAACGAAAAAAAACGGGCTCACCCCATCTTCTTTCAGGCCCTCCCTTCCCAGAGGAGTGACAATATCCCGTGCACTGTCGCAATGTGCGGGCGCCGTCGCTCGATCATCGGCCCCCGCGGGAGGGCTTAAATGCCCCAATGGGGGGTTTTCCGTACAGGGCGTGAGGATATTGCGTGCAAACCACACCGCACGCAACAAATGGAAGCATCACACCGGTCGGTAACTCGCACCGGAAGCAGCAGCGCGCGCCGAGAACAGCAAAAAAGAAAAGGAATTTGAAAATTGATCGGCATGAACATGATCAACCGTCCCCCGCATACGGGGCATCAGCGGATTCATAGCTCAGTGGTAGAGCGTTCGGCTGCAGTCCGAATGGTCCCCGGTTCAAACCCGGGTGGGTCCTCATTTTTCGCCACTTTCCCCTCGCACAGAAGAGGGAGAATCTTCATTGTTTTATGCGTGTAAAAAAAGAAAAAAAACCCGTTGCCGCAAGGCTCTTTTTCCCGACGGCTGTCCGGGGCTTTGGCGCGCTACTCTTGTTCCGCCCGCCACGGATGGACGCCAAAATGGCGAAACAACAATAACAACCAAAAACGAAATAAAAAAAAAGATAATAATGAAAAAAGACGGCGCCTTGGCCTTTTTGACCACAGCGGGTCTCTCCGCCAAAACTTCTTCCGCACGGTTTTGTTGTTGCCAGCATGGGCAGGGCGCGATTGTGGTGGGGACTCGCCTTTGGGGGAGGCGCAGGGGGCGTTGGCTGATCCCGCGTCTGCTGCCCCGCCTGTTTTCGTGCCAAGGTGCATGTTGCTTCTGTTGGAGGTGGATGTTTTTTCCCCCCTTTTTTTCTTCCTCTCTTCCGTGCGGTTTCCCTTGACTTGTTTCTTCCTTCTTGGCCTTTTTTTGACTCTGAAGATAGCGGGTCTTGGCGGTGATGGTGGCTCAACTTTATCAGCTGTTAGGGGGCGCCCTCTTTTTTTTCATTGCCTCGTCGTTGTTTCGACCCGGATCATTGCGGCGTCTTGCGATTGCTTGCGGTTCTGGCTGTGCCTTAGGATATGGGCTAACAGCTCTAAATAACATGCGAAAACATTCCTTTACAGCTCTGAATGAGCCAATCCGCTTGAACGCACCCTCCGCAGATTTCCGTACTATGTATGAGCATATTTTTGAGCATATTTCAGATCATTATGATGAACTTGGTCAGCTGGAGGTCGGGGAGGAGCATCTGACCGTTATGCAGAACGTTTTTGCTCAGATAGGGACTCTCGATGTTGACGGCATTAGAAAGATGTGGACCTCAGTGGTTATACCCCAACTACGTAGCTCTATGAATGGTGAATCTCTATCTAACTATATTGAAAATTCATCTTTAAAACTTGAGGAAAACACCGTTTTTTGTGATATAGGAAGTGGTGTGGGGAACGTTTGTCTTCAAATTTTGGCCGAGACTCGTTGCAAAAAAGTTGTGGGGGTAGAGGTAATTCCTTCGAGGTGTCGTAGTGCAGTGCTTGCGCTTGCAAATGCAAAGAATTATTATCCCGAGCATTTTGCTGGCAAGGATGCCGTTTTCCTTAACGATGACCTTGTGAACTGTGTCTCACGCTTAACGGAAGAACGGGTAAACGTGATATTTGCCCATTCCTGGATGTTTGATGATGACCTAATGCTGAAGTTAACGGAACTAGTCACTTCTGTGCCAACAGTGCTGTGTGTCGTGACGTCACGCAGACTTGCAGAGACGGCTCTGCAGAGTAGCCCACTTAAGCTCGTTTCACAAGTTCATCTGACGGCCGATTGGAATGAGCAGGCCCCCTTCTACGTGTACAGCAAAAACCCAGCAAAGTGACGAGAATGGAGACAATGGATGAAGGAAAGGCGGTAAGAAGATGCGGGAACTGGCAGAAGTAAAAAAAAAACAGAATGCACAACGGAAAGGAACAGTGAAAATAGGAAAAGAACTGCGTATGTGAAAGTAAAAATATATGTATGTACTGGTGTTTCATTCTGCGAAGCATTGAAGTATAGAACTTTTTTTTGTTTTTTCTGTGATGCAGTAGGCTTGAAATGAAGTTGGACACCTGCATTCATGGAAAAGAAAAGCAACAATAAAACGGAATATTGCCCAGTTCCTTTTGCTTTCTTTTTTTTTTACCTGACTCGTTGCATTCTGGCTGTCGACCCCTCGAAAAATGCGTTTCATCATGAAATTTGTGCACGCCCGAGGCATGATGGTGTGAAATACAAGTTGCACCTTATTTGTGGATTTACAAGATCATCGTAAACCCAAAAAACAAGTAAAGAAGAAGAAAAAGAAAGAAACAACAAAATAGGCTCTTATTTTTTTTGCTTATTTGATTTTTTTATTACAGCTTTCCCTTCGAAAAAAAAACACACATACGTAAAACTAGTAATGAAGCGAGACCATTACGAGACAAGGTGACACTGAGGTTATTAGCATGTGCCACGTTGCATTTTTCCATCAGATTAAGAGTAGGTGGTTTTATCCTTTGTTGTAATTGATCTTAAACTTGGTTTAAAAAAA